ATACATTGTTGGATTCTGATAGCTAAAATTTTATTGAGGATTTTTGCATCAGTGTTCATTAGGGAGATTGGCCTATAGTTTTCCTTTTTTGTGTTGTCCTTATTCGGTTTTGGTATTAGTGTAATATTGGCTTCATAGAACGTGTTTGGTATTGTCCCTTCCTTCTCAATTTTTTGGAAGAGTTTGTGAAGGATAGGCACTAATTCGTCTCTGAATGTTTGGTAGAATTCATTTGTAAATCCATCAGGTCCTGGGCTTTTGTTTTTGGGGAGGTTTTTGATTACCATTTCAATTTCGCTGCTTGTAATTGGTCTGTTTAGGTGTTCTATTTCTTCTTTATCTAGCTTTGGGTGATTGTAGAGTTGTAGGAATTTGTCCATCTCCTCTAGATTGTTGAACTTGTTTCCATATAACTGTTCATAGTAGTTACTGATTATTCTTTTGATTTCTGCTGTGTCCGTTGTGATTTCTCCTCTTTCATTTATGATCCTGTGTATTTGTGCTTTCTCCCTTTTTTCCTTTGTGAGCCTGGCTAGGGGTTTGTCTATTTTATTTATTTTTTCAAAGAACCAGCTCTTGGTTTCATTGATCTTTTGGATTGTTTTTTTAGTTTCAATTTCATTTATTTCTGCTTTGGTTTTTATTATTTCTTTTCTTCTACTGGTTTTGGGGTTTTTTTGTTGTTCTTTTTCTAGATCTTTGAGCTTCGAGATTAGGTTGTTTCTTTGAGTTCTTTCTTGTTTTTTGATGTGAGCTTCTATTGCTATATATTTTCCTCTTATTACTGCTTTTGCTGCATCCCATACATTTAGGATATTGGTGTCCTCCTTGTCATTCAATTCAAAGAATTTTTTAATTTCTTCTTTGATCTCCTCGTTAGTCCAGTGGTCTTCCAGTAGTGTGGCTTTTAATCTCCATGAGGTAGGATAGTTCCTTGCCTTCTTTTTATGATTTATTTCTAGTTTGATGCCTTCGTGGTCAGAAAAGATGGTTGGTATGATTTCAATCTTGGTGTATCTGTTGATGTTTGTCTTGTGCCCCAGTATGTGATCGATCCTGGAGAATGATCCGTGTGCGCTTGAGAAAAATGTGTACTCCGTTTTTTTTGGGTTTAGTGTTCTATAGATGTCTGTTAAGCCCAAATGCTCTAGGTCCTTATTTAGAGCTTTAGTTTCTTTACTTATTTTTTGTCTTGTTGATCTATCCATTGTTGATAGTGGTGTGTTGAAGTCTCCCACTACGTATGTGTTTTCTCTGATGTCTGTTTTCAGAGAGGACAACAGTTGTCTGATATGTTTTGGTGCTCTTTCGTTTGGTGAGTATATGTTAATGAGTATATGTTATTTCTTCTTGAAGTATTGTCCCCTTAATCATAATGTAGTGACCATTGGGATCTCTTTTTATTTTTTTGAGTTTGAAGTCTGTTTTATCTGATATAAGTATAGCTGTTCCTGCTTTCTTTTTTGGCCCATTTGCTTGTAGGATTGTTTTCCATCCTTTGACTTTGAGCCTATTTTTATCTTTTGTAGCTAAATGTGTTTCCTGGAGACAGCAAAAGGTTGGGTTTTGTTTCTTAATCCAGGCTACAACTCTGTGTCTTTTTATTGAAGAGTTTAGTCCATTTACATTTAGAGTTAATATTGATATGTTAGCATCTGTATTTGCCATTATGTTTGTCTTTCCTTTGATTTTATTTATTCTTTTAATAACTTTTTTTTTGGTCTTCTTTCGTTGTTATTCGTCCCTCTGAGGTTCTGGCTTTAGGATTCCTCGTAGTATTTTTTGGAGTGGGGGTTTATTCGTAATGAAATTCGGAGTTTCTCTTTGTCTGGGAAGGTCCATATTCTTTCTTCATGGAGGAAAGAGAGCTTTGCGGGATAGAGTATTCTTGGTTGGCATCTGTTTTCTTGGAGTCTGTTGACTATGTCCCTCCACTCTCTCCTTGCCCGTAGTGTTTCTTCAGAGAAGTCTGATGTCAGCCTGATTGGTTTTCCTTTGAATGTTATCTGTTTCTTCCCTCTTGTCAGCTTCATTATTTTTTCCTTGTCCTGGATTCTTGGGAGCTTTACTATTATGTGTCTTGCTGTGTTTTTCCTTTCGTCGTGGAAGTTTGGTGTTCTTCTTGCTTCTTGTATATCAATTTTCAGCTCCTTCTTCGCATTTGGGAAGTTCTCTTCAATTATCTCCTGGAATATTTTCTCTGTTCCTACATCTCTCTCCTCTCCTTCTGGAATTCCTATAACTCTTATATTTCCTTTCCTCGTGGAGTCAGATAGTTCCCGAAGTCTTTCTTCATTCTTTTTCCTTCGTACTTCTCTTTCCTTTTCTGTTTTGGTTCTTTTTATTTCTGTGTCTTCAAGAGAACTTATTCGTTCTTCCATTTCATCTATTCTGCTTTCCTTGCTTTTCCCGGAGTTCTTTAGTTCCTCCATTAATTCTTTGATCTCCTGCATTTCTTTTACTTCGCTCTTTAGGGACTCAATTTCATTCTTCTGACCATTGTTTTCCCTCTTTAGGGACTCAATTTCCTTCTTCTGATCTATCACTTTTTTAATCATGGCAATTTTCAATTCTCTTTCTGGAAGGTTCAGAAGTTCTTCCAAGTTGCTGTTGTTGCAATCTGGGGAGTGGTTTTCTTTTTGTGGTGTGCTTCTTTCCTGAGGAGTTGTTAGGTTGCGTGTGGTTCTTCTACTCCCTACTGTCTGTTTTCTAATTTGTCGTATGCGTTGGGACACTGTGTTGCTCGGACTGACTGACATCTTGGGTGAACTTCTCCGCTCCCCTCTGGCTCTTCCAGGAGCCATCTCTGTCTTCTGGGGGAGCTTTCTGCTGGTTTTAGGCAGTTTTTACTGAAGAAATGTCCCTGTTCTCAAATGGCGAAGCGGGATGCAGTCCCTGCGCCTCCGGTTTCAGGCACGCTCTTCTGCGCACCCGGTCTGCCCCGGACGTGGGTGCCTGCTCCCTCTGTGGGCTCAGACTGCTGGTCGGAAGGGGGCTGGCGTGGAATAACTTCCCGGCTGGCCACTGGGTCCTCCAGAAGCCTTCTGCCCTTTTCAAGCAGTCTTAAGAAATTTCCTGTTTTATGGGGTGTTAGTGACTTTTTTTTCCTGGTCGCTAGGTGGCGCCAGAGATCTCTCCTATTGTCCTTGGGGGGCTGTTTTTCGCCTCCCCCCACCCCGTGGGACAGGGAACAGAGCGGGAATGGTAGGGTACACCTCAACAGCTTTGGGGTGCTGTGTCTGCCTTGTGCCCCACCGTCGTGGAGAACCCACGCCCCGAATTTTCGTGCCCCGGGTCTCAGTTCAAAGCCCTCAGTTCCAGGACGCGGGCTGTAGCCCAGTTCAGTGGCGCGGGAATGGCGCCTTTTGCACCGCTCCCGTGCCTTGGCGCCTGGTTCCTGCTTACTCAGGGAAGGACCTTCACCTCAGTGAGGACCTCCGCGCGTCTCCCCGCAAGCCTAGGTCGTCTCCCCGCAAGCCTAGGTCGCAGGCGCGGGGACCTGGGCAGCTGCGATCCCGGTCTGCACTTGCTTTTCAAGCGCGCCGAGCCTGCCGCTTTCCGCGCAAGCTTACCGGCAGCCCGGGCTGTGTACGCATCTCTGGGGTCTTTGTTCTTCTCTAATGGCGCCCGGAGCCGTTCGCTCACCGCCTTGGCGGATCCTGCCTCAGCTCCCGTTCACGGGATGTGGTGGCCGCAATAGTTCCTTTCCACTCACAGTCTCGCTTGCTGCGTCGTTTGTTCTTGTGGGTCGTTTTAGTTTGTTGTTTTCCTCCTCTCTGCCGGTCGGAGAGTGCCGCCTCTGTTGTATAAGATTTTTTAAAGTAAAATAGAAAATAGCAGGCTTTTTAGAGAATTTAGACTGAAAGCATTGCGTATTTTTCAATTTGTAAATGTAATTTATTCCAGAAGTGATCTTAATATTTTATTTTATAAATATTTAATATTTTATCCCTCTTATAAACTGCCTAAAACATGGTAGACACAAAATCTTCAGTAAGAAGGAAAATATTCTCACAGCTAACTGTGGAAAGTGTTATTTAGAATTATTAGCATAAACTAAGTTATGTTTGCAGTCTCACCTTAAGGATAAAAAGGCAGAAACTTGTATAGGTAAAATATCTGAATAGTACCAGAGAATTTAGCAATATAAATTCTTTTGATACAGAGATATTTTGTTGGAGTACCTACTTTGTTCCATACACTGTACGTACAAATAAGACTAGGACATGACCCCTGTCTTAAAGTGCTCGGAGCCTGGCTAATGCATAAACAGAATATCTTGGGACTTGACACCAGACCCTTTTATGTGCAAAGCCTAGAAATTTTTATATATCTTAAAATTTTGTCATTAAAATTAGAGGAGTAAGATTACATATATATAATATATATGTAATATATACATACATATATATTAATGTGTATGTTTCAGTATTTGGAAAATATGATTAGGGAGATTTAACTAAAGATTGAAGGCAGGAGTAAATGGAGACCTTTTTTTTGTTACTCTCACAGACCTAAGCAGGAAGACCTATGTTGTTCTTAGTCTATAAATGGAAATTTTTAAACTTGTATGCCTCATACATTAGTATTGCCACAATGTGGACTTTTCACATTAATGGCATGTCTTTCTCAATGTAGTTTCGACTCTGAGATTGTTTCATTTAAATTATATTCTTAATACTGTTGGATCCTGTTAGGTCTTCACCTTCATTGTGTTTATTCTTGGAAACTTAGACATAAATTGAGGTAAACATTGATTTTTAAAGGCCCACTAAATATGTAAAATTTACTTAGTATTTTCCTGCTCCATGAAGGACCTGCTCTATGGTGACATTGTTGAATACCCTTTTAGAGGATGTGATGCATTAAGCAAATTTAGGCTAAGGAGTTTTTCATTTTATAGATCTGATTCCTGTTTTTAATGATCATAAAAATATGAACTAATATGGCATTCAGTATTATAGATATATTGAGGATTAAAAACCTTTTTTCCTACATAGGATACCATTGCAGTAGCTGGATTTACTGTTCTGCCAGCATCTTCATCTACAAGCAGAGATGGAAAAAATAGTTTATTTTTAGAAGTATTAGAGGACTTAAAATCAACTGTTTATGTAAGTTCCTAAATTTTAATCTAATCATAATTTTATTGAACTAAAATGATTCAATGTAGCAGTATTTCTGTATAGCTGCAGATAAGTTATTTAGACTAATGAAATTATTTTAATTGAATATATTAATTTTAAAAGAGAATTTTTTTTTCCTTGACTTTATCTTTGGAATGATTCCAGACAGAAAAGGAAGATTTCTTAATGATAAAAATCTCGAAAACTATAGTCTTGAGATTGGGGTGGTTCAGTGATACCAAAATTAATAAATTAGATTTAGGTTTATTTAGACAACTTTACCCACATCAGTCTTATTTGTAAACCATAACTTTAGGCCATTCTAGTGAATTTAAATTATACTAAGGTTTATAGCTTCACTAAAATGAAAGGTTTGTAATCATATTGGAGGTCATTTGTATATAAATCAACCATTTTTTTTTTCAGGTTTATGTTAAATCTGTAAGAGATTTTTCTTCAGAATCAATGTCTTTGGTAAGTTGATATTCAGTTTAGTCTGTCTTATGTACACATACATACACATGATATATACATACAAATACATACACAGGTTTGATATACTTTATAGCCTAATTTTAAAATAGTATCAGTAAAATGGGAAAGCATAATCTCCACTCTTTTGATATCTTTGTTTTTAAAGATTTATTTATTTATGCATACAAGAAGAAGGGTGTAGGCCAGAGGTGTGTGGGTGAAAGGATTCACCAGAGACAGAGTGGGGAACAGAACAGGCAGAATGACTGAAATACACTGCTAAGGGGAGCAGCGGGCGAGTCAGGAGAGGTCTGCTGCACCATGTGGGTTGCTCCCTGACCATCTGGGAATCGAACTCATGCTGCAGTGGCTGCAGAGAGCTTCATAGGTTGCCTCTTATCCCCTTGGGCCACCAGGGGTTGATATCTTATGTTACACTTGAATTATATATATATATATTTTTTTTTAAAGATTTATTTATTTATTTTATGTAAGAACCGGGGTACATGCTAGATGTGCAGGAGGGTGAGAGGATTCACCAGAGACAGAGTGGGGAACAGAACAAGCAGACTGACGAAATACACTGCTGAGGGGAGCAGTGGGCGAGACAGGAGAGGTTTGCTGAGCACTGTGGGACTCTCGCCGGCTGGCCAGGATTGAACCGGTGCTGCAGAGGCTGTGGACAGCTTCACAGTGTGGCACTCAACCGCCTGCGTTGAATTATATAGTTAGCTAGTAGTTGATATCTACTAGCTATCAACTAGCTGTAATTGTTGTCTGTAATATCTGCTGTTATTCTTGTTTATGCTACATACACAAGAAAATTAAAATGGAAAAAATTATTATATGAGGACATGGATTTTTACTACTTTTAATCATGAGGCACATTCATTCTTTTGCTTCTCATCAGCTTGTATTTAAATAGATTATTATGTGCTGAATTGTGATTTGACAAATTATGTAATTTTAATTAAAGATACTATGCTTGAGATACTTTTTGTTTGCGTTTTTCCCAATATTTTATAATTTTTTGTTCTAATAATCATATTTCATTAGAATTTAAATTCACTTGTAGCTGAATGAAATTGGAAAAAAAGTTATATATTGATAAAGTTTAATAAAGTTTGATTTATGCATATTCCTGAACCTTTAGTTTCTAATAACAAGGTTTCATGAGATTTCTGAGCCCTGTCCTTTTGTGTTTGACCCAAGGGATTAGCTTCTTGGAAAATAGCCAATTCATTTGATTTGATTTTCTTTTTTAATGTTAAGTTTTAGTGTGATAGGTAATCTTATTCCAATTAGAGGTAGGATGGTTGGATGATAGTACTCGATATCTGAATCCTTTTAAGGATTGTTATACTAAAATGCAGACACATTCTCGTAAGTCACCTTCCTTTTTTCCCTAGACTTAGGCACCGCACAGTTATTTCAGAAAATTTTTCTTCTTTTTCCATTTTCAATATCCATATATCATTTGTAAATCAAAATCTGGCTTCTTTAGGCATAAATAAAATATAGCAGTAAAGGGGGAAAAACGTACTATAGATCTCATAAATTTTAAAGTCATGGTAACTAAGGTTAAAAACTATATCCAGATCTTTTGAACTCCATTTCTTAGAAATCATGTATCCAGATTACACCATTTATAATCAAGGTTATTTCTGGGCCTCCCCTGGTGGCGCAGTGGTTGAGCACTGGGCTGCGAAGCTGCCCACAGCCTCTGCAGCACCGGTTCGATCCCCGGCCGCCGGCGAGTGTCCCACATGGTGCGCAGACCTCTCCTGCCACCCACTGCTCCCCTCAGCAGTGTATTTCATCGGTCTACTTGTTCTGTTCCCCGCTCTGGCTCTGGAGAATTCTCTCACCCTCTCCCATGCTTCTGACTGTACCCAGTGCGTGTATAAATAAGTAAAAAATAAAATAAAATAATCAAGGTTATTTCTAAGAAAAACACATTGGTTTATATAATAAACTTTATAACCTGTGCGGTCTTTTTTTTTTCTTTTTCTTTAGGATACAGTCTCATTTTAGACACTTAAAAAGAATAAATGTAGTTAGATTTGTAATTTTACAAATTTGACCATAAAATGATTCTAAGGTAAATACCTCAAATATTTTGTATATGCTTTGTTTTCTCTTTCTTTAGATTTCAGCGCCACATTATATATATACACCACTAAATCAGCTTAAAAGTGGCATGATTGTCAATGTCTATGGTGTTGTGAAGTTCTTTAAGCCTCCGTATCTAAGCAAAGGAACTGGTATGTATTAAAATTGGTTGAGATTTTAATAGGCTAGAACTTCCTAGTTGTTTTGGGAACAAAGCTCCTGAGTCCCCCCATCTTGGATGTTTAGTTTTGATTTATAATTGCAACACAGCACAGATATATATTTTCGACCATTTTTATTTATAAAATATACATGGCTTTTAGAGTTTAAAGAATAAGAAAAGGATCCTAAACTGCAACTTAATAGCATATGAAAGAATGAAATTGTCTCAAAAAAGATAAATATAGAGGCATATACAGCATACTATAATACTGTATGTTGGTATGTAAATCTGGTGTACAGGTTAAAAGACAAAAGTATAAAATAATTATACCTGTAAACATACATTAATGGATATACAATATAAAAGATATAAATGTGAGATCAATAGCAAGTATGGAGGGAGAGAAGTAAAAGTGTAGCGTTTTTGTATGGAATAAAAGTTTATTTCTTATCATCTTAAAATAAAGTTTATAGCTGTAAGATGTTTTATATAAACTCCCTGGTAACACAAAGAAACACCTATAAGAGATATACAAAGGAAATCAGTGAAACCAAAAAAAAATCAGTGAAACAAAAAGGAAGACATCAGGAGAGGAATCAAGGGGAATAGAGACATACAAGACCTAAAATAATGAACCAAAAGGCAATATCATGGCTTCCCTATCAATAATAACTTAAAATGTAAAAGGATTAAGCACTCCAATTAATAGACAAGAATATCTAAATGGACTGAAAACAAGATGCTATCTACAAAAGATTCCCTTCATATTTAAGGACACACATACACTGAAAGTGAAAAGATGAATGCAGACTTTACATTTTCCTAAGTCTACATCCTACTTTCTGCTCCATCCTACCATTCATCATGTACTCGTATACATTTTTTACCTTAGTTTATTTTCACCAGATTCCCCACCCCCAGCTGAATTTTGCAATTAATCTGTTTTACAAATACCTATAAAGATGTGATCATTATAATTGTTTCCCAATTGCAAGTGCTACCCTGCTGACTTTTTAATTGAGCGGCTAAATTTAGGAATTAGCTACATTATACTAATGTAAGTCTATCTCAGTAGAAGATGTAATTTAAAAAAAAAATTGTATTGTGTACGTTGCTGATTCTTATCGGTAAATTGATCAGCAAATATATTTTTTTTTAAAAAAGCAAAATGATAGTATTATACAATGAAATACCTATTTTTAAAATATCAATTATTCAATATTAATTGTAGGTAATAGACTGTAATCATGTTTTCTTCTAATGATTGTTATTAAATCATACATATTGTGGAAGCATTGGAGAACCATAATACTTGTTATAGATTGATATATATCATATCTCTATCGATATATTTAGTTGGATTCATTTTTATAGTTAAAAAAATTCATAAGGAATAATAAGCCAACTGCTATTACTAAGATATATTTCTCTGTTTCTTCCGAGATACTAAATTAAAATGAATGTCATCAGTTTTATCTGAACATATTCACTGAACTAAATTTATTGTCAGATACAGTGAGAAGGCTTTACTGCTAGCAAGACCATAAAGTTTAAAAACTATCTTATCATGTTAGTTACACTCACATTTTTATTTCTGTTGGTAGAACCCATCCTTTAACATGCTGCAGTAGAGTCAGACAAATAGCTCTGATTTTTGTGCTCTAGAGAGGATCAACTTCATTAGTACAGCTACAGAGAAGTACCAAAATAAATGTACAGGAACAATCCACAGCTGGGTCTTTTTTTTTTATATTATATAAAACAACATCATCTCACAAAAACAAGGCCATGTTCCAAATATTACATCCAGATGTATGTAACTAGTTTCCAGGAAGAAAATTACCTCTATGCAACTCATATTTAAGTAGATGGAAAAAAAGTTTATTCTGTTATATATTATTAGCTAGAATTTTTTCATTAAAATTCTTTTCATATATGCTAAATTCACTGTGGCAGAGGCAATTTGATGCAATTTAGCATCTTGACTAAATTTTTTCTTGAAATTTTTCCTCACATTATCAGTAATAATGATTACATGTGACCTGTCATTTGCTGTTATTTTTATATCTGGTACCAAGTGCTTTATTCCTCAAACTTTATAGTCAGTCTTGGAGGAGTTGTAGCTTAAATCTGTCAGTCCTGTTAGAAGGAGTATAGATATATATTATCAGCCGTGATATTATTCATTATGAAAACTCAGAATTTAGTCTAAAAGATCATGGTAACCACATATATTAAAAGATTGTTGCATCATCAAAATTGATGTTGATAATGAATCACTAGAGGTACATCATAATGGTATCTTTCACATAGGAAGACACGGTTATTGCTACCTTCTTAGGATTTTGGTACAGTTCCTCTATAAAGCTGTTCAGGTTATGCAGTATTTCTATTTGAGAAAAATGTATTTGTTTCTAATTTGCAAAAAGGCACTTGCCAGTTAGTGGTGCCATTTGATATAATGGACCTATGTAGTGTTTCTGAGTTTAAAGTAGAATCCTTTATAGTTCATTAAGCTATCTTTTGGAAAGCTGGTATTCTCTCAGGACCATCAAAACTTGCAAGTGGGTAAAGACTGGTTATATTGTGCTTTTTTTCTCTCTCTTCCCTCTCTCTGCCCAGTCCATTCTTACTTTAACTCTGAAATTATCACATACACTTTGGAGGAATGAAGGGGAAGGGCCTAGATAAAGAATATGTGCATTGCAGAGGCTACATGTTTCTATTTCTGAGATTTTGTGTGAAAAGGCCAGCATGTAGATGCATGTGTGTGTAGCCAGAGCTGCTACTCTCGTGGGCTCAGGACAGTTCCTCTGTAAAGCTGTTCAGGTTATGCAGTATTTCTATTTGAGAAAAATGTGTTTGTTTCTAATTTGCAAAAAGGCACTTGCCAGTTAGTGGTGGCCCTATGAAGACCTTTGATATAATAGACCTATGTAGTGTTTCTGAGTTTCAAGTAGAGTCCTTTGTAGTTCGTTAAGCTGTCTTCTGGAAGGCTGCTATTCTCTCAGGACAATCAAAACCATGAGATGATTTTCAATTTTTTGAAATTGAGATTGTCTGATTTTTTTAAACCAACATCCCAGCACCTTTTTTTTAGCTGCTATGTTGTTCATATTAAGTATGTACTGCAAAGACGGGGCTCTGCCAGTTCATTCTGACTACCATCTAGATCCCACTGTTTATGCCCATTAAATTTGCCATTTTGTTGTGGCATTATATCCCCAGTTTACAAAAGTGACTCATTTTGAAGCATTTAAGCGAGAGAAGTAATGTAGAAATTATTGCAGCTTAAAAGAGCATTATAAGTATAAGTAGTAAGTACTTGTCAGGTACAAATATGAAATGTGAATGTGGTTATTTTATTACAAATGAATCAGTGATATGTGATATTGCAGAAAGTCAAGAAACAAAAATGTAAAAAGACCAGGTTTGATGTGTGCCTGATTTTGTTTTGTCATGAAGATGTACATTAAAACAACCCACAAATTAAAGAAAATTGTATTTTATTCAAAGTACATTGTTCTTTTTGACAAACTAGTCACATGTTTCACTAATAGAATTGGTTAATTGTGTCATTATTATTGGAAATAAAGGGACCAAAACTACAGAGGCATTATTTCCAGCAAAAGCAGGTCCAAGTGACATTATTGGCAATATTCATATAAATCCAACTGCAGAGATAGCTTTCGTTGGGAGGGTGTTTATTGGCTGTCAGGTAACATAAGTGACTCATTCTGTGGAGAAACAGTTGTGTGTAGTGAGATGAAACTTGTTTGTACAGAGTAGGAATTAGCTTTCCTATAAATGGGGAACATTTTCAATATTAGATTTGTAAACATCATTTCAAACAATTAAGCTAATGATTTTTTCATTTCCATGTCATCTGGCCTTTCCATTCACTTTTGTATATATACTTTCCTTCATTTTGTATATATACTTTCCTTCATCCACTTACAAAATTATAAATTTTGGTGCACAAATATCACAGATACATAAGAGTACCATTACAAGTTCTTTTAGCCAAACAGAATGGTCCAAGATCTTACCCAAAAATATTGTGAAATTCTTCCTAGTCATTGATTTATTAGCTAGAAATACCATATTTTCTATCTTTAGAAATATTTTGTTTTCTCGCAGTTCTTAGAAATACATTTTTGTGTGTATGAGTTGTTGATATCATTACCTGAAGAATCATAATCTAAGATTTCATTCTTGTGATCAATTTCATTATTATGAAAGGCTTTAAAGTTCTATCTGCCTTTGCATTCATCTTCTGATTTATTTAATAATGATTAAAGGACTTACTGTCAATTTTTTCCCCTGTGATTATAGGTAAATGTTCTTTAGATCTAAATTCTTAACTCAATTCAAATAAAGTTAAAAGAGGAAGTGCCAAAGATAGTGTCTCCCAACTTATATCATTTTGAAAAATAATATTACAGTACTTTGAACAACGCAGTGCGATAGTGATGATTTATTTCACTCTTTCATCATCCTAGGCAATTCCATCATTTTCCTTTTTAAAAAATTAATTCAGAGAATTATTCATTACTAGGAAATAGAAGTCATTGCTAGAATAATGAAATAGAAGAATATTTCAAGATACAGGGAAACAGATGACTAAATTCCTTAATATAGCTTGGATTTATAAAAGGGTACTATAGAACCATATGATAATTGCAAGCAAGAATGTGTTTTATTCTATTAAGAAATAAGTAAAATTTATCTTTGACCTATGGAAGACTGTTCAGAAAAAAAAAAATAGTCCTGAAGTAACACTCCTTACAAATAGGTAAAACTACTGAAAAAAGAAACTCAAAATCTGAAATTGGGTCCAATGGATCCTGTGGGGGGTATCACGAAATACTTTCTGAAGATGCTTATTAGTCTTGTTTTTTTTATATTCTTTGAATTATTTCCCCCTCCTCACAGAATCAGTTTCTCTTTCCTCCCTCCCACCTTGCCTTTCCCCCCTTTTTCCTCCCATTATTTCCCCATATCCTTACACTCTCGCTCTCTTCCTTCTCTCCCCTCCACTTTTCAATCTTCCTTCCTTCTTCCATTTTCCTCTGCATCTTGTAATTTTTTTGCTGCCTTGACATTTTAAAATGCAACTATGGGGCCTCTCCAGTGGCGCAGCAGTTGAGCGCTGGGTTGCGAAGCTGCCTGCAGCCTCTGGAGCGCCAGTTTGATCCCTGATGGCCGGTGAGGGTCCCACATGGTGTGCAGACCTCTCCTGGCGCCCGCTGCTCCCCTCAGCAGTGTATTTCATCAGTCGGTGGCCTGTTCTGCTCCCCGCTCTGGCTCTGGTGAATTCTCTCACCCTCCCCCGCTTCTGACTGTACCCAGTGCTTGTATAAATAAATAAATAAATAAATAAATAAATAAATCTTTTTAAAAAATGCAACTATGGTTTATTTTAGGTTGTAGACAAATGTCTTTGCTTTGTATGTATTTTTTTTTTTTTTTTTACCAACATGATCTCTTCTAATCTGATAGAGACAAGTAGTACTTGCCTGTGGTGTACTTGCCTGTACACCAATCAGTCTGGGGTGAGTAGGATGAGAGCTCCTATGAGACTGTAGGTATCTTAATGTGAAAATGAGTAGAGATTTATTATGGGGTCCTGTCACCCACATTCGAAGCTTTACCACTTCCAGGTTAAACCTCTCAGAAACTTGAATCACTGAAATATCACTGGGAAAAAATGCATGTTCCACACAGGGATGCTTAAATGCTAAAACAGCATGCCTGCTGGCCTGAAGCCATTTGCACAAGGAGTGATGGTCATAATGGCTGTCATTGCAACCATTGTTTTGTGTGTAAACTTTTAATTTAACCTGATTTTAGCTCTGCTTTTGGCTGCCACCCTTAATCCATGCCTCCCATCTTTACTGTCAGCCTTCTGGATTACAGTTGCCTCTGTTTATTTTATCCCCTAACCATTTACTTTCCATCTTCCTGACATACAATAGTATCTTCTTCCCCACTCCTTTACTCCCTTCTCCCATCCTCCTCCACTATTCTGGGTTTATTTTTTTCTGTCTCTATACTATTATTACTGGGAAGGGCAGGGAGTCAACACATTTTCTCACTGTACAATTTTCTGAAACATGCATATTTACAGGCAGCACTTATCATAGTTTTTATTACTACCAACCAGTGTGTGAAGTTACCATTTTCATGGCAACCCCACTATCAATTTTTTTTCCAGTGTAAGTTGTATAAAATATCTCTCTTTCTAATGTGTAATTTTTTATAGGTAACTAGCATATCTTCATTTTCCCTTTTGAGTTTGTTGTATATTTTTCTATAAATTGTTCATTTGAATTACACATTTACTGTAAAATTCTGTGTGTTATTTTTCATAGGATTTTTGTGCATCACATTGACGATCACATTTGCTGCAAATGTCTTCTAGCCTTTTGTTTTTACTCTAAATTTGTCTCTATTTTATTTGACAATTTTTTTGCTTTATGATATCTAAATATGGAACTAATAAATTATTTTCCAACTTACATTAAGATTTAAATTTTTGTTTTGCTAAACTTTATAAAGTTAATTTTCATGGAATGCTTTTGCGAAACATTTGGCAGCTTATTTTGAGAGCCAAGAAAATGTCTCTGTGTTTTGATTGTGTTCTTGGAAGACCTAAATAAAAGGGGGAATAGTTTCAAACTTGGTGTTTTGAACTCAGCATTTTCTTATTTTGTCAATTGTTTTGAAGTACTAAAGTCATAAATTTTTTTTTTTGTTTTCTAGATTATTGCTCTGTTATAACAATTGTGGACCAGACAAATGTAAAATTAACCTGCCTACTCTTTAGTGGAAATTATGAAGCCCTTCCAATAGTTTATAAAAATGGAGATATAGTTCGCTTTCATAGGCTGAAGGTATAGTTCATATTGTCTGGAACATATGTTTGATGAGAATTCTGTATATACTGAAAGTATTTTAGTGCACTAATATAAATTTATTTTGCTTAGCATAAATCCCTCCACTTCCATCCATTGTTGTAACAGAAATCAAGTTTATCTTTTTTTAATCGATGATTAGTATTCCATTGTGTGTGCATATAATATCTTCCTGATCCACTCGTCTCTTTGAGCACTTAGATTACTTCCATAGCTTGGCTGTTGTAAGTAAACAGTGTTATAGTGAACATAGATGAGCATCTCTGATTTCTTATTGGAAAATTTACCATGAAGTGGTAAATTTTAAGTGGTGATTAAGAGGGTTTATTCACCCAGAATTTTGTATTCAAAAAAGATTTTCTGGATACAGACAATAAGTGGCAGCTACTTATGAATGTTATCGGGAAGACTAAAATAATGTGAAATAGGAGTTTGAAGTGAATGAAGTGAGGGTAAAATCAAAAACATTTTTATATAAATGAAAATAAGAGAACCCATAGTCAGCATTTCTGCACTACAGGACACGCGGAAGCGTGGTACTCAGGGCAAAAAGGATGCTACCAATTAGTAACTTGATTGCCAGGAAATGACAAAAAGATCATTAAATAAGTGCATAAATATGAAAGATAGCATTTTATTTCTTTTAATTTCACTAAAAGATAAATGACTGCAAAAAATGATAAATGGCTACTAAAAAACAGTAATATTATAAAGTGAGAGTTGTAGAATTCCATGTTTGTTAGGAATAAGGAATCTACCTCCTAACTCTTTATAAATGAGAAGTAAATTTTGTGTAGTATTTTACGGTTACCTGGTGCTTGTGGCCCAGTTGATTTTATAGTTTCATATGCTAGTTCAGTGAAATACATTAAAGAATTTCATCTTTGTTAACTATGCCTGCAAGATTTTCCTAAATCTTTCTCTTCATTTCCTAAGTTGGCATCATTGTACTATGTTGTTTTTCTGTTTTGTTTCTTACTTTTCCCCACATAGATCCAAGTGTATAAAAATGAGACCCAGGGTATCACCAGCTCTGGATTTGCATCTTTGACATTTGAGGGAACTTTGGGAGCTCCTGTCATACCTCGTACATCCAGCAAGTGTTTTAACTTCACCTCTGAGGATCATAAGATGATAGAAGCCTTGCGTATTTGGGCATCTACTCATATTTCACCTTCTTCAACATTAGTAAAGTTGTGTGATGTTCAGCCCATGCAGTACTTTGACCTGACTTGTCAGCTCTTGGGCAAAGCAGAAGTGGATGGAGCATCATTTCTTCTAAAGGTGAATTTTTTTTTTTTGAATACTTGAAATTGTAAGCACACCTACCTGTATATAAAACATTCCCTACATGTGTTTTAAAGAGCTTGTATTTCAGCATTCTGATGGAATAAATATTCATATTGTGTATTCTAGGAAAAGTTGAATTCTAGTTTATCATTTTTGATGAGCCTGGCTAGCCTTGCCACTCTGCTTTTGTACATTACTTCTTTATACTGTATGTACATCCAGAGAAAATTAGTATTGCCAATAGTTAGAGATGGTAATAGTTCATGCTCTGTTTATATATTATTTTAGTAATAATATAATATGAACTGGTTTTCTAAGGTTATTTTTTGTTTCATTTCTACATATACATATTTCTGCTTTTCTGTGTAAGCAGCCAGCCTTCTCACTTTTACTTTCTTGACCTACTTTTGTTGTGTTCCCTTCCTATGTCCTTTTACTCCCTGCTTCATGAGTAGATCACCCATAGGTGTTTTTAAGCACATAATTTTTCTTGTTATATTTTGTTTTGTTTGTAAACCAGGGGGCTAAAAAAAAAGTAATATAGACCCATCTAATCTATATTAATACCTACCCCCGTTTACTCATGAATAACATCTGGAGGAGATAGTTGTTCTGATATTTTCCTCACTGACTCATATTAGGCAGGATGCATTTAAACAAATGCTTCTTCAGACCTCATACCAGGGATATTTGTTTAGTTTCTGAACCCCTGGAACAATAAGAAAAGAAACGAAGCACAGTGACACTTGAATAATTTGGAGTTTAGCTTTATTACCATTGATACCTTGTCCATCTTTTGAATGGTAAAGATAGAAATCCCTGAATAAAATACGAAGTTTTTGAAGTTGAAAATAGCACATCTTTTTATATTCATGAAACTGTAAGTGGAAAAGTAAAAACATGCTATGAAGAAAGTTAATTAAGCCCCATGCAACAAAACCAAACATCAGCCAGTGGTGGAAGGCATCTTCGATCACTCAGCTGTGCTCTCTAGTCAGATGACATCTTCAACTAATGAGCAGTTAGAAAATTCTTAAATTCTGAGATGAAAGCTGCCATCTTTTCATTCATATGGTTGAAACTAATTTTCTCTCAAAAGCAATAAAACATATTTCTATATCCCATTTTTATAGATAGCCTTTTTAGGTAAGTGAAAACAGCATTCATGCAGATATATTTTAAAATATAATATTCAGAAGTAAATGCAAGAAATTATATCAGACTTTTTTTTGAGGACAATGTAAAATAAATTTGTAAATCCTTTGACTCAGTACTATTTTCAGAAATACATTTTGTCATAATAATTTAAAATGGGAAAAATACATTTAAAAGTTTATTTTTATATTTCTATGGTAACAGAAATTATGGAAAATCAGATAATAATTAGTTGAAGTATTTATTATGAATTACTGTCTAACAATGAAATGACATTGTAGTCATATACTTGAAATAGACAGTCACTATATTTTGTTTAGTGATTAATGCATCTTCATTTATATACTAAAAATATAGTATATACTTAACAAAAAAAAATACCAGTAAGTATATATAGCAATATTCTACTTATGTTATATCTTGGAAGTCAAATATTGAGTGATTTTTATTTCGAAATTGACTTTCCGATTGCATTCAAATATTTTTTTTTAATTTATATTTTGAAAACAGAAGGAGCCACACATTACTCCAAATGAGGTCTGTTCAGCATGGAAGATAGCATCATTAGTGTTATTATCATCCTATCTCAACCTGGATATGATGTTAATGCTATGTATTATATACTAGTGGTTATTGTATAGTATTATGTGGATGCGATACCAGTATTAACCTTTGTTAGCAACTATAACACATTCATCTTAATTACTTAGTAGACATGTTACACCAATGGAATTAAAGTCACAGTTTAAAGTATCTGTAGGCTAACTGGCAAGCCACATTTTTCTTTATGCAATTTACTTTTCTGAATAGTAAACTCTTAAATATGCATAGCTTTATCTTTTGAGCTATGTTTGTTTGTTTGTTTGTTTGTTTGCTTGTTAAGAGCTAGAAATCTTTGGTAGCCAGAGGGGTAAAGAGTTTATACATCTTCTCTATAATATGATAAAAAGAATATAGTGTAACCCAGAGAAATCATATTAAATGGATCATGCAAACATTTGTTATCAACCAAAACTAAATACATAGATACTGTCAAAAAAGAAAATTCTCCCTCCCCCCCATATACTGTTGTTTCCAAGAGAAGTTAATTATAATTTCAGGTTATTAAGAATGCAATATTCATAAGAATAAAGACTGTAGTGAGGTACATAAAGACAACATTCAGAGGTCTAAATGTCTTTGGGAACAAAAAAGGAGAAGAAAAGCATATTAGAATCTAATACCATAGCATATTAGAATAAACTTAGCATATTAGCATAGAACATGATATATTCATATATATCATAGAATATGATAGCATGGAATATAATTAGCATTAGAATAGCATAGCATATTAGAATAAGCTTTCAACTCAAGAACTTGAAAATGTAACAGTACTGTAGAAAATGGGAAGTAGCATTTTAATAAGGTATTTAATTTTTAGATAGGTAATTTTAATATTGTCTAGGTGTTTAAAAGATTTTTAAAATTATATATAATGAAAAGTTTCTCTTTGACTCTCTCTCTTGTCTCCCCACCTCCTCAGCATCTCCCTCTCCAAACATGGTAACAACTAAAGAGAGTTTCTCTGAACATCTTTTCAGAAATATTTTAACTCATATACAAATATGTATTATTTTCTCTCTTTTTGTATACATACACATGATAGCATGCTACACACACTATATTAAAGTTGCTTTTTTACCTTAATTCTCACCATAGAGATTTTTCTACATTACCTCCTGAAAGTTTCCTTGCGTTGGATTCTTAGGGCATTCATAATAAATTATGATAGCCCAGTGGCTTAAAATAGTACAGATATATTCTCTTAGTTCTGGAGGCCAAAAGTCCTAATAAAAACATCAGAAATCCAAAATAAATAGAGGGCTAAGTGCCCTCCAAAGTTTCTCTGGAAGAATCCTTCCTGACTCTTCCTAGCTTCCATTGGAGCTGGCTGGCATTCCTTACATTCCTTAGCTTTCTTACCTGGCGCATCACTCCCAGTCTTTCTTGTCAAATGACTGTCCTTTGTGTCTCAAATCCAAATTTTCCTCTTTAAGGCGCTATTTAATTGTTTTATCTTTCATTACATGACATAAAATGGTTCATTTAAACTTGCTTCCCATGGGCCTTCCCAGTGGCATAGCGGGTTGAGTGCTGCGTTGTGAGGCTGTCCACTCTACAGTACAGGTTCAATTTCTGTCTGGCCAGGGAGATACCCACATGGTGCAGCAGACCTCTCCTGTCTCACCCACTGCTCCCCTCAGCAGTGCTTTCGGTCTGTCTGCCTGTTCTGCTCCCCACTTGTCTCTGGTGAATCCTCTCACCCTCCTGCACCTCTGGCCTGTACCCCAGCTATTGTATAAATAAAAAATAAATCTTTAAAAAAATAAACAAAAATATTTTTTAAGTTTTCAGAAAACTTAAATAAGGGACCAGGAAAATGAATAACTATAAGAAAGTGAAAATCAAAATCAACAAAAAACTATGAACCAGAGACACTTTTAAGGGGGCAGGGGCGGGAGGGGAGGGATTGGGGTCAGAATGGGGGCGCTGCAATCGTATGGGGAATATAACAATAAAATTTATTATCTAATAAAAAAAAAATAAAAAAAAATAAACAAAAATAAACTTGCTTCCCGTCAATGTATTTAGGAGGCTGACTTAAACATTTGTTATTTCACATGTATCTATGAAGATAAATTGCTTGAAATAGAACTTCTGACTCAAGTATGTGCATTTAAAATTTTGGTAGCTCTTGTTAAATTACCACCCATAAAGATTGTTCCCCTTTGAACAACTTATAACCATGTATGAGAGAAAGGGCTATAGAATTGTTATAATAATGATGGTTCTTAAAAATAGAAAAAAGATGATGTTGATAAGTTCAAGAGCTTAAAAAACAAAGTCACTTCATTCTGATTTTTAAAAAGACAAAGACTTTTCAAAATTAGGAATAATACAGGGATATATTTACATTATGGGCAATTTTAAACATAAAATGTGAAAAAATTTTATGCTGAGAAATGGCAAGTGAAAGTTGAAATTGATAACTTTAAATTTAAATATAATTCAGATTTTTTAAATTCTTGAGTTGTTTACCAAAATGGTTATGAACCTAGATGGTATATTCTCTCAAACTGAATTAGATCAAAAGTAGACCGATATCTCACAAAACAAGTACGGACTTCCAGTTTTATCTGTAAATATAGAAACCTCAGAAACAGTGACATGTAATAATTCAATGCATGATAAGAATTACTTGGCCATCTCAAACTGGTAAAGAAAATTAGAAATTGATACGCATTTTGTGTGTGTGGGAAATGATTATATGTATGTAATATACAAATCCCTAACAGATTTGTGTTTTTGATTAAAAAATTTCAAGTCCAGAATTAAAAAAAAATCTGACTTCTAGGCAATAAAAAGTGAAACATAAAACCAGTATAGTAGATCTCTGTTCTTTCTACCCCTTGCCCAAAAGACTCCTAGATTGGACTGTAAACAAACAAAGCAATGTACAGAAAATGAAAGAACAAATTCCAAGTAGAAAAAAAATACATGCTACTACTCCTGTTGCCCTGGTTCTTTGAATAATTTCGGAAACAGAGTGAGTGACACAAACTCATGATTATTTATTTGAAACTAGAGCTATTACTAACATTATTTAGTACTTCCTTTCTTATCTGACACTGGCAGACACCTTCTCTATAGACCTGCAGTGTTTTCTATTCAGATAACCTGTTCCTTCTTGTCCAGGCAGACTTCTTCAGACATGCAGAGAGACATTCCCATCTCAAACCAAATGTCTTTTGTCATTCCTTTATAGAGCGTGGCATAGCCCAGCTCATCTCTTAAAACCCTATGTAGTGCAGACCAGCTTATGTTTTAAGGATGAAATGGTGAGATTGCCCTGTGTCCATGTTTCCATCCTTATCACAGTGTAGCTTACCTAGCAGTCCAGCATAGCTCTTCTTTTCCCAGCACCCTAGCTTTTCATTCATTTATATTCATGACATCTAACATAAGCACAGTATTCTTTTAATGGCCTTTTTTCAAATCAGAGCAAAGATTGAGTAAATTCATAAAAGCTAGGAATTTATACGTAACAAAATGAAAGGAGATACTCATAAAAGCTTTTAGTGAGAGAGAAAATCTTTTCTTTCCCATGTAAGTTCTTTAGCTTGTCTAAAGATAATTAAATTGACACAAAATAGAGTGACAGGAAAAAAAAAAACACACAATATGATTCGATATGTAAGGGGTGAGTGGGGAATGAGGATTTCCAGTGATTTGGAACTTAGAAAATCAGGAAAGTGACCCACTCAGCCAACCTTTATACCTTTTATACAAACAAAAAAAAAAAAATTGACAAGAATATAGCTTGGTTGTAGATTAGTAAAGAAGTAACAATGTTTGCTCACACAGCTTCTGGGCCCTGGTTTCAATCTCCATGATAAGGATGCCTTCGGCCCTTCTATTGAAGGGAAGGTTGTTCTTCACATGGGAATTTGACTCCTGTTTTCAAAGAAGAATCAAGAGTGCCTATCTTGCACTAGTTGTTTCTTAAGTGATTTTAATTCAAAATACTCAATATGCCAAAGTGACATACATACCCTGAACCTCCTCATTATAGCAAGGTAATTACTAAATTATTTTAAATACCAACATTTTTAAAGCAACCCAAATAAAAGTGTTTGTCATAGAATATAATAATATGAAGCCTTTGAAAATTATATTTTAGAAGAATAAATTGTCTGATAAAGTGTTTAACAGGAAACTAAAAAATGAAAAGCACAATACAGTGCCAATTTGTTAAAAAGAAAAAAAATACATAAATACACAGAAGAAAAAAGATATATAATGTTGATTTTTTTTCTAAGCTCATAGCTATGTGAATTTTTTTTTCTTTATATTTTTTGCATTATTTACATGTATGGTGTTGCCCTTTTATAATTTAAAAAAAAAAAAAACTATGTTTAAAGTTCAGCATATACTTGGGAATATATTTAATGGCATTTATTTACATTACCATTATTACACTTTTCTCTACCCTCTATGGCAGGTATGGGATGGCACCAGGACACCGTTCCCATCTTGGAGAGTGTTAATACAAGACCTTGCTCTTCACGGTGATTTAAATCATATCCATCGGCTGCAGAATCTGACGGTAGACATTGTAGTCTATGATAACCATGTTCAAGTGGCAAAATCTCTAAAGGTGATGTTGAGCAGCAAATATGTGTGTTGTTTTGTATTTTTATAAATTTGAGAGTAAACACATTTATAAATGACGTTTGAGATCTAGAAGTCACCTCAAAATTCATTTGATTTTTTAATTTATAAGATGTGTATTTAAAATAAATTATTAGGAGGGCCTCCCTGGTGGCGCAAGCGGTTAAGCACAGCACTGTGAAGCTATCTGCAGCCTCTACAGCACGAGTTCAATCCCCAGCAGGCCAGAGAACTACCTACATGGTGCAGCACACCTCTCCTGTCTTGCTTGCTGCTCTCCTCAGCAGTATATTTCAGTCGGTCCATCTGTTCTGTTCCCCACTCTGTCTCTGGTGAATCCTCTCACCCCCTGCATCTCTGGCCTGCACCCCAGTTCTCCAACGTAAAAATAAAAACTTAACTTTGTTAAATCAATTTAATGAAATCTAATTTGCAGCTTTGTACTCATCACTTTAAAAAATTGTTAAGCCACCTCTAATATATATCATAAATTTCATGTCTGTGTTTGTGTACTGTACAGCTTATTAGAATTTCCTCACTGCTTTTGAGATAAAGTTTTTCAGGTAAAAATACACTATTTCTTTATGGTACTTCTTATTGGGAACATTTAAAATTTTTTTTTCATTTATTGTATCTTTTATTTGCAGAGATAAAAGTTAATAACAATAGCAGTAGAATTTGTTAAGCACTTCAGATATTGTTATTCAGATATTTGTTCAGCACTTTAATACTATCATATACAGTAAGTACTCTGTTCATCCCCATTTTACAAAATAGAAAATTGAGACATTGGGAGATAAGGCCAAGATTTCACAGATGCTTGGGTGAAGCCAGTATTTGAATGTACAATGGCTGTTTCCAAAGTCAATCCTCTTAACATACTATAAAGAAATGATTTTCTTGCAAGTAGCTGCCACCCTACCTTTATAGAGTTACATACTCTGCTTATAGGAACAGAGCAGATTTATTTTAGATCTGCATTTTAGTTCTCCATTTTCCTTTGTAAATAAATGTTCTTGAAGGAAATATTTCTGCTGCACACTGTGTTACAAATAACCCCGCCCAAGTCAAATTTAATAAAGACCGTGTCCAGGAAGGTAATAACAGCATTTAGGTAATGTGCATGTTCAAACCTGACATATCAGAGAAATATTTGATACTTTTTCTCTGAGGCTATCAACAATTGATTAATTTATTTCAATAAAATGTGATGTAAATTCTAAATTCTTTTTTTCTACAGATAGTTTTTTAATGAATGACAAATAATTGCCTTTTAGATTCTACATTCTGTATTTAATTCCTTTGTTTTTCCCTATGCTCCTTCGATATCTCTTTCTGTTGCCCACTCTTTTCTTGAAATCTTTGTTCTACCCCAAACAGCACCTAATGTAAAATAGTACTTTCCATAGTATAAGGATATAGTAAAAAAGATCTTCTGGTGAGTGAATGAATCACTGAATGCTGTGAATTTTTCAGCTCCCATTTTGTCATCTTTATCTAGCCCACTAGAGGGTGCTGTGAGCACAAATAATTAAGAAAATGTAGGGTATTTAATTTTTTCTAACGATATCATGACATGTTATTTATCAGTAATGTAACAGAAAAATGAAAAATATTTTCATGGTGTATAATAAGTAATGTGACTATAGGATTTTATTTAATGTACTTTGATATCACATTTGTTCTGTGACAACCTCTGTACCATTTCATTTTAAGAAATCCCCAGGGTCAGATGACATTGATAACAAATAAATTCTCCCCAGCACTTAGAGACAATTGTTTAAATTGCATTTTTTATGCTGAAATACATGGAACAAATGTATTTTCAGTGTATAAGAATAGGAATAAATGTGGATTTTTTTAAACAAAGAGAATACTTAAGACAAATATAGATAATAAATTGAATTCTGTGTATAATACATTTTACAGCCCAAGTTTTTCTTAACATTTTTCTTAAATCTTGGCTTTTAAGTAAGTGATCTTTTAAAAAAAAAAAGATTTATTTGTTTATTTATACAAGCACTGGGTACAGTCAGAAGCGCGGGAGGGTGAGAGAATTCACCAGAGCCAGAGCAGGGAACAGAATAGGCAGAGTGACGAAATACACTGCTAAGGGGAGTAGCGGGCGGCAGGAGAGGTCTGTCGAGCCATGTGGGACCCTCGCCAGCAGCCGGAGATAGAACCGGTGCTGCAGAGGCTGCGGGCAACTTGGCAGCCCAGCGCTCAACTGCTGTGCCACCAGGGGAGGCCCTTAAATAAGTGGTCTTATTCCCTAAATATTTTATACAAACACAAACTGATTTTTCAAATCTTTTGTCTAGAAATTGAATCAATATATTTTCAGTTCCCAGTCTTATCCGAACAAAATTTTAAAATAATCACAAAACGTATGTAGTCATAATTAGATTTTGAACTTTTGTGACGTAGGAGCTATCATTGGTTATTCTCAGACATATATAGGTCATTAAAAATATTGAACCTACAGGGAAGTTTCTTGACAGTTTTTAAAGCATATTTAAATGATTTCCAAAGGGATAATGATTTCTTTTAGCCATATTGGCTTTATTTTTTTTTATGTTTCTGTATTAAAATGGAATATTATAACAGTTTTTTAAAATATATATTTGTTTATTGTTTGGTTATGACTCACTTCTATTTTTGGCATCTTATCACTTTGCAGACAAGACTGAGCAGTTTTTGTCTATGATAATAGAGCATCTGGCACATTTCATAACATATTTCAGAAGCTTAAAAAAAAAATACAATGCTGCCTCCAGAAGGAATTTCTGGAAATAACAGCTTGTCATCACTGTAACCTATCTTTATAAATACATTCTCTCTTGGTCTTTACATTTTGTTTTATTATGAAAATGTGCTTGTAGAGAAGATAGTAATCACTCAGGTGCCTACCATCCAAATTTAACAATTTAAACATTTCTAAGTGTTTGCTCCACTTTTTTCAGGCACTTTTAATTTTTAAAAAATAAAACTCTACACAGTGAACCCTCTTTGTACTTATGCTTATTTTCATTTTTTTTTTGCTTCCCAGTATCATCTTTTTGTTTATCCTAACATGTGAATATATGCCCATGCTCAGTCTTTTTTCACACTATAGTATCTCTGAAATGAGAATATATCTTCCATCTGAAAACATACATGTACACACATATTTGTACATATACACGTATGTATGTATACACACACATTTTGGTTTTGTTACTGTGTCCTTAAGGCTAATAAAATCCTTTTTGATTAGTCAAAGTTCCTAGTTGTTCTGTGCCCCCAATTGGTAGTTGAATATTTTGAGTATTAGATATTGTTTGATCTTTCTCCATTTTCTAAATAATAATCTGTTTTTAGGTTGGAAGCTTTCTTAGAATTTATAGCCTCCATACCAAACTTCAATCGGTGAATTCAGAGAACCAAGCGACATTGTTAGCTTTAGAGTTTCATCTCCATGGAGGTACCAGTTATGGTCGGGGAATCAGAGTCTTGCCAGAAAGTAACTCTGATGTGGATCAGCTGAAGAAGTAAGCACATTACGTATGTATTTTAAAATTGTATATAAACATGAAGCTAATTGATAAGATGACATTTTTTCTGCAGTGGGGAAGGAGTATTTGATAGATTCCTCATAGTTGATCCCCATAGTTTTTGCCATTATCCATTTTTTAAAATGAATGAACAAAATGAAACAGATCAAGTGATTGTAGGTTCAGTGAGCTAAACAGGAGCACAACTAGTGTTATAGTCTAAGTTTTCTAGCACTTATGTCTACTCTTCGATCTTACTCTCTTCTATCATTTGCCACATTCTCCAAATAAAGCAACAAACAGTGGAAACTGGATATTAAAGTTTGGGAACCTTTATACATATCTGGGATTCTGAAAATAACCTTGAAAAATTAGGAAGCAGAGCCTGTATTTGATAAATAGGTAACAGAAAGTGTCTTGTACACACACACACACACACACACACACACACACACACACCCACCCATCCATCCCTCAATGTTCGTGAGTTCTTGGTTTCTATGAATACGCCTTCACTGACCTTATTGACTTTGTTTTATGAAATTTGAAATTATATTCTTTCAATTATAGGGTTTTACAATCTGCAGATTTGACAGCCAGTCAGTGTTCAGATGGTATCTGTCAAGCAGAACTTGAGGACAGCTTTCCAACTGTTTCAAGTAAGGTCAATTTTAAAATTGGCGGTTTAGTTTCTGCTAAGTAAAATGGCTTTATCAACATTAAATCTTTTTTACTACCTTCTCTCTTTTTTGTTAACTCCGTATATTCATTATAAAGGAACACCCTATGTCTTGCGTCCTGTTCAAAAGTAAACAGTAGTCCTTTAATTATGTAATTACAGTTTCAAATTGGTGTGGTAAGAATTACTTGATTTATGCATGTAGCATTTCTGTGTGTGTGTGTGTGTGTGTGTGTGTGTTTGTGGTATACATACATTCAGTAAAATTCTATCATGTTCCCAAGCAAACATTTGCTTGTCAGTTTTCTTGCCCTGGATTCTTAGACCATTTGTTAGTGATGTTGAGGAAGAAGCACATATATGGTACCACACAAAATAAGTTATTGAAATATAAATATTATTATATGTAGTAAAATGTTATCTAAAGTAATTGCAAAATGAATGCTTATTTAAATATCAAATTCTTTGTTTTAGAATGCGTCATTAAAGTAGCTGTATTTATTACTTGTGCTTTTTTATTAAAATCCCATTTTTCATTTTTTGAGGTCATTATTTTTATCCACCTCTCCCTTTCTTTCATATTGTATTTTTTCAGCATAATTAAAACTTTGAAGCATCCAGAAAAGGTGAAGCAATTGTGCAATCAAAAGTTACATACCCACTACCTAGATTCTCAGCTAACATTTTACTTTATTTCCTCTGTCATATATCTACCTACTTCTCTTCATTCATCGCCCATCTTATTTGTTGATGCATTTCAAAGTACAAATTGCAAACATTAGTATACCTCCTAAATACTTCAGAATGAATATTTTTAACTAGAGTGCAGTATTTGTTTAGGATAATGTATTTTAGGTAAAATTGTATGCAATGAAATGGACAACCTAAGCGTACTATTCCATGAGTTATGTCTAAATACATAAACCCATGTACCCTCAGTTTTAGAAAATTAACATTATCACAAAAGATTAACTCCTGTGCTTCCCAATCCACACATGCTCCACCTGAGAAGTTTTTGTATTTTTCCATCATAGATTAATAGTGCCTACCTAGAATTTCAAGTAAATCAAATAATACATAGTATTATACATACTGTGTTTTTGAGATTCATTCATCCATATTGTATATGTGAATAGTTTGCTTCTTTGTCAAAAATCAAATGTGGATTTATTTCTGGGCTTTTCATCCTTACTTACTAGTATGATCTCAAGTAGGCTTTTTTTCCCCTCATACTAATTTCAAGTTATTGCAGCAGCATTTGTTGAAAGATTTTTGTTTTCCCTTAAGATTCCTTTGTTGCCTTTATCAAAAAATCAAATGTAAATGATTTTTTTCCCTAGGCTTTCTATTTAATTACATTGATCGGTTTGTCCCTCTTTATGCTGGTACCATCATGTCTGGAGTCTTAAAGTTATGTAACATAAGTCCTGCAACTTTTTCTTTCTCAAGATTTTATTTGATTCTAGAATTTTTGCATTTACCCTTAAGTGATAGAGTCTCCCGTTTCTATGTTAATCTTATGAAATTTTGATTAGGGTTATATGAATCTGTAGATCAAGATGGAGAGAATTGATATCCTAGCAATATTGATCCTTTTAACCCAATGACATGGCAATGGGTTAGATCTTTGTTTAGATTCTCTTCAGTTTCTCAGCAATATTTTATCATTTTTAGTGTCATGTTGCTTTTTCAATGGCTTTTAAAGGTGAATAATTTTTTTGTTCTCCTTCCTACAGGTACTGGATCTGTATCACTATATGAGGTTGAAAGATGCCAGCAATTATCAGCTACAAGTAAGGCCATATGTCATGTTTGAAATATGGATATATTAGTGCATATCATAAAGCCTTACTCACCAGCTAGTTTATTCATCTCTAATAGCAAGAGCAGATATTCATGAGGCTAAACTATATCCACATATATTTCTGTGTTTCTTTTTTTTTAAGATTTATTTATTTATGCATACAGAACTGGGGTGTAGGCCAGAGGTGTGGAGGGTGAGAGCATTCACCAGAGACAGAGTAGAGAACAGAACAGGCAGATCTACTGAAATCCACTGCTGAGGGGAGCAGTGGACGAGTCAGGAGAGGTCTGCTGCGCCATGTGCGTTGCTCCCTGGCCGGGGATCAAACTCATGCTGCAGTTGCTGCGGATAGCTTCATATTGCAGTGTCCTAACCCCTTGCGCCACCAGAGAGGCCCCGATTTCTGTGTTTCTTTGGCTCTTCTTACCTGTGCGCCTGACATTGTGGTAGTGAACCTTAGAAAACAGCCTTCCACATTGATAATTAATAAAACTCAAATTAAATTTTATTGTATACATTTGGTCCAGAAGGATTTATATCATAAATATATTTACGGTTCTTCTAGATTAATCTAAAAATTCTTTATAGTTCTTACAGATCATCAATATTTGGAGAAAACCCCACTGTGTGCTATTTTGAAACAAAAAGCTCCCCAACAATATCGCATCCGAGCAAAATTAAGGTCGTACAAGCCCAAAAGGCTCTTTCAGTCAGTTAAACTTTATTGTCCTAAATGTCATTCACTGTAAGTATTTTTCATAATAAAGCAGAAATTTTTATTGTGTAATATTTGTGTATATTATACATTATTATAGGTATTTTAAGTCCTGGCAATGAGTGTATTGTGATTTTATATGTTACATTTTGAAAGAATTTTTTTTGAAATAACACTGGTTTATAGCAATGTGTATGATTCAGAGAAATAGGGTCATACCTCTTCAGATGTATGCACACTATACCATCACCAAGGCACTTGTAGTTCTCCACCAGAATTTTTTCAAGGGAAATACTAAATTCTTAGAAAGTATCCTTCTGATTTTTCTTTGAAATGAGAGTAAGCACCATTTTCAGGTAAAAATTCAATTTAGTAGCTCTGGTAAATGCAAGCAAATAATAAAAATATGAAAATATTTGTGGAGACTCTCATTTGCTACAAAAATCTTTAAAGTAAACCATTATTAATTAAAATTCTTAAATAGATAACAACCCTGATTAGTTGACACTTCTACTGATAGAAGAAGCCTATTGGAAAATTTTTTGTCCTAACTACACTAAAGTAGATATAATTTCAGTTTTTGTTAGTAATTTGTAATTTTTGTCTCTACGTTTTTATTCCAAAATCAAGTATTGTCTAAAAATATAAATAAATTTGTAAGACATTAGAACAAGTATGTACTATTTAATTAGCTCAAGACATACTCTAAAAATTACTTTTAGTTCTTTTTTATGCAATTTTCTTATTTTCCCTGTAAATATGTAATAATGATGTTTAGTGATGTAGGTAATTGATCACATCATGCTGTGCACTGGATGCCATAAATCAAGTTTTTACTATAATAGCTATAATGTATAAATAACATCTCTGTGATATTTGCATGTATTTATATTGTTGGTATACTTCTGTGCATAAATAATATGCACGTATTTTCCCCTCCAAAACTTAAGTATCAGCAGATCTCCTTAAATGAAATAGGGGTACTGTTTTACCCATTTGAGTTTCAATATACAGTAGATGAGATTAAAATATAAGTAATTGATTTTACCTAATTCTTAAAGTGTTATCAAATTTTAGTCTGTTAAATTATATTAAAATCATATAACTTTGTTAAACAAAGCCATTCCATATGATTATTTAAAAAAAAAAAAAAAGGAAATCATCTCAGAAAGTGTAAGAAGTATTATCTAAAGTTATACGTCTAGTTAGTGAGAAAAACCAGGGCAAGGACATAGATCTTTTGATTCTAAATTAGGTCCTTTCTTCTATATCATTCTTTTCCATGTGGCTTTTAAAAATTACTGTTCTAGATTAAAAGGAATTGAAGGGAATATTGGTTTGTAAAATAGGAATCTTATGACATTGATATTATTCAAGTAGTAAGTAGATTTTTAACTGTGAAGACAGGACTGCATTCCTTAGAGAGAACAAATGGGTGATAGAATAATTATCAGTTCCCTTAGCATCACAAAACCACGCAGGGAAGTTGGCTGGTATTTAATGTAGTTTATGATATGGATATACTCAGCCATGAAATACCGTCAATTATCTTTTATTAAATGTGAATCATTTAATATGCAAAATGATTTATCTCCTTTTTTTTAAAACTAGCCTATGAGCAGATAAACAAGTTTTTAAAATTAGAAACTTTGTTAAATTGGGAATTCCAAGTTTATATTGATTGTTCTGTGTTATTTCACATCACTGATTTTAGGCAAGAAGTTCCACATGAGGGTGAATTGGATATAATTTTGCAAGAGGGTGCAACAAAAGCCCCAGATATTAGACTACAAAATACACCATTATATGATTCGAAGATGTGGACTACTGAAGATCAAGGAGAACGAAACATAGCTGTTCATTTTGTGAAAAATAATGGTGTTCTTCCACTTTCAAATGACTGTTCAATTTTGATAGAAGGTAAGATTTTAAGTTACTGTTTTATTAGAATACACCTTTTTTTGTGTCTTTCACTGTTTAATTATCGTTACATATATTTTAGGGGCAACCTAGGACACATACATCAAATAAATTTCATAAAATGGAATTTTGTATAACAACTATATTCAAATGTATACATAAGTACACTTATACGTAAATTTATTTGAATTCATTTTGAAATTACACATTAAAGCTAAGTGTTAATATTTGTCGATACTGTTGGAAAACTACATGTAATCTTAATAATATCCAAACTTTGTTGAGCAGGGTAGAGATCAAGAGGCTGCTTGCTGTCTACAGTTGCTATTATTTTCGCCTCTGGATGTCACTGTTGTTTCATAGAAATGCAATGAAAGTCTTCTTTTGATATCTATTGATAAATCAAGTAAGGATTCCTTGAAAGAAGTAAAGAAAACTACATGTGTTTTAACAGAATGAAACTTTGAGTCATATTTACTTCTGCATTTCCTTTCCATTTTATGTTATTTTTAGCTAATGTTTAATATATAAACCACATATTTTTCCAATGACAAATTTAATGTTTCATTATTTTACTGGAGATTTTTTTTAATAATATCCTATAATGAAACGAAAGTATTTTTAATTTATATTACTAATATCTTTCTGTTTATGTATGTAATAGTCATTTTAGAAAAAAATGTGTATACATGCCTATAAACATTGTTATTTTCATGAACTTCTTTTGTTTTAATATATTCTAGTGTGCCAGAAGTTATTTTAATTACTTTCTGTGTTTTTATTTAATCATCACAACAATGCTATGCAGCTGATACTATTATAAGCAATTTTTGAGAAAACTGAGGCACTGAGAAGTTTAATTCTTTTCTGTTTTTTGATATAGTAACTCTGTGCTGAACTTTATCTCTCTCCCAGATAAATTATAATTATGGGCACAAGAAATTTAGTAGATATTGCCCAATTACTTGCTAGTAGAAGTTATTCTAATATGAATATATACTTTCACTATATGAGATTACCTATATTCCTGCCCTCATGAGTATATACTAGAATTTTAAAATATTTGTCTACTTTGATGAGTGATAGGTGGCATTGTACTCCATTAGCTATATTTTAAGCTATACCAGAAGGTAGATGTAACCACAGCCACATACAGATGTCCACATATACAAATAGAGTAGGACTGTTTGCATACCCTAAGAATAAAATAAAACAGGGTTCTAGCAGAGATCCTATTTCTTTTATCTTTGTTGTGTCTATAGATTTGTGTCCTTATTAAATTGTAAGGGCAGAATTCAAGGGTATTTTATCAATATATCTTCAGCACCAGGGGTCCACGGGTAGCACACCTTGCTTGTAACTTGTTCTTAGTAACTATTTACTGAATAAATAAATACATCCAAAGTAATAAAAACATCATATTGCAGAGCTTTTTAATGAAAGTGTCTATGAAACCATCTTTAAATTTAAAAGGATTTGATAAAAATATGTGCTATTTTATTTGATCATATTTCTGAGTATATGAACTCTAGCATTGGCTAGAACTTAAGGGCAGTATGATCACATTCAACTTAGGAACCTATTATATCAGAAATTGAGCTGGAATTATAGATAGATGAGCCAAAGAAAACAGTATTTACACAATCATTCTTAGGAGACAAGGATCATCGGGTACGCATGATAGTTTTAATGTCCATCCTGTCATAAACTTAGGGGAAAGTGTGATCTTTTCTTAGGCAAAATAAACAAACACTATATATGAATTCATACTACATGATCTATCCTTTGCTGATACATTTAAATTTGATGTTAACCTGAAAGTTAAAAGATTTATTTTAAACTCAAAACAAAATTTTCCTAGATACTAGTATTGTAGAACAAATTTAATAATACAAATTCTGTCACAATGTGACTCTCAATTTTATTGTCTTTTGATTACTTGAATCAAAGTGTTTCTGGCATTAGAACAAATTTGATTAAATTTAGGAAGATGGTTAAAATTTCAAAAGTTTAAGATTTTGTTGTAGTGTCACCATTTTTGCATGCGCAATGGGTTTCTTTAATAAATGTGTAGAATGCTAAGTTTACAAATTATTATTTTCAGAATAAGTATATTAAATTTATAAATTCATGGTTTTCATTGACTTTTTTCTGTCAATCCTGTTACCGTCCCTTGTGTATTACTTCATAGATTCTTTGTTTTGTCTGCATTATATTTGTAGTACTTGAAGTGTGTGTTTATTCTCTTTCAATAGGTGGTACACTCAGTGAAATCTGCAAACTCTCAGATAAGTTTCATAGCATAATTCCTGTGAAATCTGGCCATGAAGAACTGGAACTCTTAGACCTCTCAGCACCATTCCTTATACAAGGAAATCTACATCACTATGGGTATGTTTTCAGTTCTAGAAAGTTTTAGAATTAAAAACTGCTTAAGATTATTTTTATTGTTTTATCACACTAGTTTATATAAACTATTCATTGTACTAAATTTTTTGGTATATATCTATTCATTTGATTATACATACATATATATATATATATATGAGTGCCTATAATGTGCCATAATGTCCTATGTACAAGGCTACCCCATTGAGATATTTTAAATACAGAAAAATGTCAAAAATTTACATTGTAAATTCCTCCAGAACTTTTGTACCTTCTGTTTAGATATAGAAGAAACTCTTCCCATACCAGCCCCCGCTCCCTTTCTTCCCTTTTGGCCATCACTTTCTCAAACTTGGAGTCAGTCCTTCTCAATAAGTATTTCTATGTTCTTGCTATTTGTGTGAATTTTAAGCAATATTGCATATTAGCTTGGATTTTCAAAATTTATGCCAAATATTCCATACTATGCCTACTCTTTGCAACCTGCTTTTTCTTCAATATTATTTTCAAGATATATTTATATTAATGTATACTTATATACATTACATATAAATCTGTACACTATATAGATTTCATATTCATTTTAATGTCTATGAAGTATTTTATGAATGTCACTACTAACCCATTTTTCTATTAATGGATGTATGTTCCTTCCATTTATTTCATTTAGGACTGTACTTAATGCTAAATGAAGTCCTTTTGAAAGTTTTTGGCATATTTCCTTTGTTACCAGATAGGTAGATCACAACCAGTGTTATTCTTATATTTTTAATGCTGTTTAATGGCATTTTTTTATGTTCATTTGATGAAATTGTTAAGTATATTCATAACTTTTTTTCCTTTGCAATTTTGTTGGTATAATTACTTCTTACAGAGTGCTTAATATCCTCTGTGATTATGAGTCTGTGACATTTTACTTTGTCAATGTTAGCATTATGTGTTTGAAATTCCCAGTAGTTCATTTAGGTTCAGTATTTTATCTTCTAGATAAATTAATTGTTCTGCATATTTTTACATAATGACTTCATCTAATTATAATTTTGGCCCTAATGTTTATTTTCATCTCCTATTTTTATTGCTTTGTTCTAGTTATTCTTTTTCTGGAGTGGGGTTTGGTAATTACCAGTTACTCCTTTGCTTTCACATTTCTTTGTTTTTATATTTTATATTAATTAAATACATGTGAGTAGATTTTAGTTGTTTTGTTAACAACTAACTACTGATTTGTTAACAACTAACAACTATTTTTTTTTTAAATACAGATACATTTAGTTTTCATTTTTGCATTTTGTGCTGTTTTCCACTTTCCACTATTCTTTTCAATTGTATTATCTTTTGTATTGAGGTAACAACATTGGTATACAGTACTGTATATGATGCACGGTTATAGATTCACACCTCTTTGGATGTATGTATGTTACCATACTACACCCACCACACTTAATATTTTCCTTTCAATATCTCCTAAACATTACAATACTTATAATAAATAAACTGCACTGCTTACAATGTATTTGTACATAAGCAAATCAAAATAGTATACTGAGTAAAGTGTAATTTTAGTATATTGTGTAGTTTTAATTTGATTTATATTGCAGTAGGTAATTATAGTGTTAGGCATCATAAACTATGAACCTCTATGTGTTCATTCACTATAGTACCCAAAATTTTGCTAATGTTGATTTTTTTAAATATTGGCTATATTTAACTAAGACGTTGGCCATTATATATTGCTTAGAGAGTCATCAAAGAAAGTACCTCCCAATCTTTTTTGATTTTCCAAATAAGGAAACTAGTTGAAAGAACAACCTGGACCTAGAACCTGACTCAATCTCAGTTAATAGTGTTTATTCAGGACCATACCATCCTTTTTAGTTTATTCAGTTGTAAAAGGCTTATTTTTTAATATAATTACATTTATAACATGCAAATTATAATATGGAAGGTGCCATACTCTTTTGTTTGATAATATTTAAACCATGCATGCTTAAACAGCAAAAATAAGTTATAATAATTAAATGGGTTGTAATAACAAACTAATTATAATAAATTTTAAATGATTTTTTTCTTTTATTTCAGATGTAAACAGTGTTCTAATTTGAGACCAATACAAAATTTAGATTCCCTGGTTGATAAAGTATCATGGGTTCCTTCTTCTGTGGCAGAAGGTTAGATCAGTTTCTGTGTTCTGCAACTTTAACTGTCTTTATAAAAGGTGATCTCATAGATTCTATTTCATAATTTGTGAATATATTTAAACCAGTTCAAAGCCTGGGTTAAAGTTTAATTATTCTTAAAACTACTCACAGTGATTATAATAGAAATACAAAATAAAAATTTAAAAAAAAATTGAAAATTACTTTCAAATTCTTCCTTTATCTTTTAATCATTACATTTTAATCAACTGTAATTTTAGTATTAATCATTAATTGTAAATAAAAAGGACTGCTTTATCTCACATGGCACAGCAGACCATGTAGTCATCCAGCTTTGACTTAAAGCTCTTTAAGTAACAAGGCATATATTACATTTTAAAGCAACACATCGCCTTCATTTTTAGGTAATTCTTAGTAGTGAAGCAAAATCTGCCTAACATAGGCCATTTTCTGTCTCCTAGACTTAGAGTTAATTAATTAGAATTAATCTATTCCCTCTCCTATAAAATCAACAGACTTGTTAAAGTTGAACCTTGAGAATATTATTTACTTTCTTCTTTAGAAATTCTCTTCTAAAGTTATTTACATATTAAATATATTGTATATGCTGCTCTGAGTTCCCCGCATTTATTAGCATCTCACATCTGTTTTTATAATTTTTGCCATGTGGATTGCACTCTGGCCAGCCTGGGATCAAGTGCGGTCTTTAACCCCTGCACCACCATTGAGACTCCTAAAATACATTAATTTTTCAAAAAGTTGCTCGTAAATATGTTCCCTATGTAGGTATAAAGTAATGTTCCAAAATGAACCCACAAAATGAATTTATATATTGGTATTGGAAAACAAAAAGTATATATATATATATATATAGTTTTTCTTTATCTCTATTTTAGTAAACAAAATTAACAGGAACATACTATCATACAACTTTTACTCTAGTTTTATGTGGTTTAATCTTTTTTTCCTTTACTAGTGCTAGGTATTGTACCCCTTGAACATGTGTTTGTGATGACATTTACTCTTGATGATGGAACAGGAGTAGTGGAAGCATATCTCATGGATTCTGTAAGTAACAGGAGTAATGAAGATATTTCTAACTAAAAAATAATACTTTTTTGAATTTTAACATACTGTTATTATCACCTTTATTACTGTAAAGATTTAACAACCTAGAAAAATGTAGACACAAAATTAAATTGTCTATGTAATTTATCTTCCTTTGATTAGACATTATAAATCTTAATATCCAAATAATAAATAATTGAGGGATAGGAATTTGAGAAGAAAGTCTTTATACCCTGAAAAAGTCCTGCTTCAGGAGCTAAAGGTATAGCCACACCATCCAGGAATTATTTATCAGCATTTCACCAGGGTTTATAAGACTCCACATTTAATATTACAGAAAACACAATTACTTTGCTATGGATATAATTATATTGTGTAAAGCTAGTTAACTGGTTGGAAAGAAAAAAAAAAACGGCTTTAATTTCTGGCAATTCCAAGTTTGGGGGTTTCTAAAACCACCCTCATTTCTAGTACTAATTAAAAGTTCAGAGGTTCATGAGACCACTCTTTGATGCAATAATTTACCAGAAAGACTCAAAGATTTTATCCAAAGCTATTATACTCACTGTTAAGGTTTATTACTGCTGAAGAACAGTTAACTAAATCAACCAAAGGAAGTACATAGAGCAGAACCTAGGAAAGTTTCAAACTTTCCAAATGGAGCAACCAGTTGTCCACTTCTCCTACAGAAGGAGACAATTAATTTCCTTGCAGTGGTAACAGTTCACATGGTATATTGCCAACTGGAGAAGCTCAGCCATCTTGTAGTTATAATTGACTGCCCATTTGGCTAACCTAAGCTTGTAATCATAATATATGCTCCAAATGCTTCACCATAAAACACGTTGTTAGTCTGTCTAATACTGTCCTACCTGGCAGGACATTCTAAATGCTTAGAGATTACCAGCAGTAGTCAAGGACAAAGGCCCGACCTCTCATTTTAGGAGAGAATTTTTCTCCTACATAAACATTTCATTTATCCACCTATTAAATAACTATTATCAATCTATAAGAAATATTTACTCTGACAACAGCACTGATATATACATATATGTGTGGCAGTTGATCCTTGAACAAGTGTACATACATATATATGTGTCACTGTTGTTAAAGTAGTAAATCCAATTTTAGAGTTTAGATTAGCATTCAAATTAATGAAATCTATAGTCTTGATAAAGTGAAATAATTAGATTATTTAATGAGTATTGAAATATTTCTAATTATGACCTTAAAAAACATTAATATCATTTTATTTTTTCTTATATAATTTTTTTGAAGGACAAATTCTTCCAGATTCCAGCATCAGAAATTCTGTATAATGATGACCTTCAGCAAAGTTTGGATATGATCATGGATATGTTTTGTCCCCCAGGAATAAAAATTGGTAGGCAATAATATTTTGACAATTCATTGCTTTTCTTGAAATAGCACCTGGCATGTATCTAATCTGTGATCTTTTAGAAGTATGAATCTGAATCCAAATAAATTGCTAAGTAGTAAGTGATTACTGTATGATCTGCATTTTGATGAAGGTGATGGCAGAGATAAAATAGGTATGAATCATAATCCTTTACATTAGAACATTTTTTTAATATTTTGAAATATAGTTTGGGGAGACAGTTGTGATTATAAAGCCATTTAACTCTGTATTTTTTCATATAAACATTTTAGTTGAAATTATACCAACTAGGATGGACTTTTGACAAGAAACATTTCCTATAACAAACTCCATTTAACCAGTTTAATTTGTGATGAATTTTCCACTCAATATTGTACTAGTTTAGACTATTATAAGTTTTTTAATTTTAATAATTACTTTTACTTATGATATTTCCTGTATACCATTTGATTCATCAACCAGATCTTCAGATCAAAGTGTATTGATTGTATCTCTGAGTCTTGCTTTTGTGTACATTATTTCTGTTTACATTGAAACTTGGACGTGTAACTCATATTAAGACAATTTGACTCTTCTTAGCAGTTTTCATCAACAACAGATTTAACCAGTTTGCATATCCAGCTGTTGTCAGTGGACTTTCATAGGTTATTCTTAAATTAGGTTGTATTTTCTCCTGGTCAATCATTATATTTTATAGCTATTCCAAAATGATAATTTGTGTACAACTATAAAAAAGTTTAACTTTTATTTGATGTCAGTTTTAATTTTGTTGGGTGTTTAGATTCATTAGGATAGACTTAGGGGAACTAAAACTCTGTATCCAAAATCATGGACTGATAAACTTCGGATACCTACTGCCAGATTACTTTTCAAGAATATCTGACCTTCTTATAGTTACCAGCAGTGTAGGAGAGTGACAATATCCCTGACCCTTCCTTATCAATATTGACTTCTATATTATATGTCTTTTAAACTTAAACTTAAAGAAACATTAATAAATTGTTCTAGAAATAGGTTCACCATGGTCACATCCAAAGCTTAGACATGGCATTCATGACTACCAGTATTGCCTGGTCTCAGTGCCTGTTACCTAATGGGAGTTTGAGCTAGATAGTGTGAGGCTTGTGCTTATTTGAACTTCAGGTTCAGTTTCTTTGCAGTCAAATGAAGGAAAAAACCAAAACAGAGGTCAGTAGGCTTGGAAACAGCAGGGAAAAAAGAAGTAAAAATTGAATACTCATGATTTTTTATTGGATGGTTACTTTTTACTGCACTATTTACTAGCTTTAGTGAATCACATGACTAACTGTAACTTTGTTACCAAACATTTTGAAAACCTCATAATTACTCTTTTCTATTACTGAGGAAAAAGTCAAATTCGTCACAATTGGTGCAAGACAAAATCTAAATCCAATTTGTATTTGGAAGAACAGATGTTAAATTTGATATTTATTTACTTTTCAAACTAAATTAAATATGTTAATTTTTCTAACTAAACACTGTGCTCATATATGTATTTTAGAATTATTTGTTTAATATTAATGGTCAAAGAGCTTGTTCTTTTTCATTTATAGATGCGTATCCATGGTTGGAATGCTTCATCAAGTCATATACTGTCACAAGTGGAGTGGAACAGAAAATTTGCTATCAGATTTGTGATACCACCATAGCAGAAGATCTTATCTAACATTGCCATTCAGCATAACATATGTAATATATTGTAATTTTAGAAAACATTCCTATTTTCTCTGAGATTGCTTTAAAATGTAAAAGATTTATCTCCCTAGTTTGTTTTCCATGTTAACCACTGTTTAAAATTTTTTTGACAAATAAACATGTTTTAAAGCCTTCTCAGTTCAAAATGTTCCTCTTACTCAAGATATCCAGTATGATGGCTACTAGGGATGTAAAAGAAAATTCATTGAATAAATACTGTTTCCATTTACTCTTTGCAGTCCTTCCAGAGAGCCGTTTTGTTTCTCTACACTAAAGATCACTTCACTATTGATTGTTGTATATATCAGTCTTGGATTTCTCTTCCATCCACCATCCCTGGTTACACTTTGTTGCTTTTCCTGACCTGATTTTTTGTTTGTTTGTTTGTTTGTTTTTTAATCAGCATTGTTGGTGACTATCATGCTTATGGATTAGAAAATGTCCTTACTCAAATCTCTCAGCTTTTACTAACATGGCGTCTAGGGGTCTAGTTGTTCTTGGTTTTTGTTTTTGTTTTTTTCTTTTTACAAAGGGTTTACTTAAACAAATATTACTGAAAGTGCTTGCCTGAGTTAAATTCAGTGTACTTAGGACTGCAATTTAGTTTAAATGGATGCCACAGAATAGCTTTCTTTCAATGCTGAATATTCATAATGATCATTTCTTCATTTTTTATAAAGTTCCATATTATCATTTTGTTTTGTTTTGTATTTTTTAACTTTCTGTTTTGAACAAGAAGAGTTACACCACCTACTATTTATCTTGGGGTGGGGTGATATATGCATCTTACACTAATTAGGAATGTTTAGAGAATTCCGTTTCTGGAACAACAATTGAACAGTTGTCTGCAATGCCCAGATTTAATCCTATTTCCTATATTGTTCTTGTGAATAATGACTGAATCTTCTTGTCAGATCTTAAGTTACCTAGATATAGTTTGTGTCATTCCCATCCTGTTTCCAGTCTCCACAGCATTCATTATTTTAGACACTACTGGATCATTCGCTAGTAACCCCTACATGGTGCTTGTCTTAGAAAGTCTCTGGTGGTTGATTATTCTTTGTTTAGATACATCAATGAAAAGTACACTGCTCACAGGCTCTTTCTGTAGCCAACCTCAATTTATACAGCTGCTGTTGAAGGAACTATATATATCCTGAGATTCAGTGTGCTATTCCTCATTTCTTTTCACTCATGATCGTGATGCACATTAAATGTTACTAAATGAATGTAGAGAGACTGGCATTGCTGGAGCAGAGCAAGCTGAATACATCACTGTCTACCTGAGAAAGGTAATCCCCACACAATAGGACCCTGGCTGCCCACTTTTGGAATCAGTGTAAATCCTGTGTAGTAGCCACTTGCAGGTCATAGCAATGGGCCAGTATATTTCCCTGCCTACTTCCCAGATGTCTGTGCTGTACTGTTTCCAAAGTCAAAGCATAACTTTGTTTCAATCCAATCAGTTCTATACTTTCTGGAAGCTTTCCTTGGTATTTGAAGAGAGGAATAAGCTAGATTCTTTTCATTATTTTCAGTGTTATTTTGAATTTTGATAAATCCTGCAGTTCATCAAGTTTTGTTTTTATCCAGGAAAAAAAAAATACATACTTGCAAGAATTTGAAGAAGCATAAAGTATGTAAAGTTGAATTTCTACTAAGACAAAAGTATACCCAGAAAACCCATTTTTATCAGATGGGTGGATATTCCAGACTTTTCCCTAAGAACATGTATATGTTATACATATTTTAATAGCATCCCTGCTATAAAATATATTTCTGCAACTTGCTTTGTATACAGACTTTTTTAAAAAATGAGTACAAATAGAGGGAGAAACGTGTTTGCTTAGCATAGGTAACTTAGCATAGGTAAATCTCAGATTATTTTACTTTCTATTTTTGTGACAGCTTTGGTCTATTTAATTATTCTATTACTGGTGAATTTTGAGATTTTATATTTATTTATTTTTTTAAATAGAGGCTTGTTTTTTATTTATTTATTTGTTTGTTTCTTTGTTTGTTTATACATGCACTGGGTACAGTCAGAAGAGCGGGAGAGTGAGAGAATTCACCAGAGCAGAGTGGGGAGCAGAGCAGGCAGAAGGACCGAAGTACACTGCTGAGGGGAGCAGCGGGCGGCAGGAGAGGTCTGCGCGCCATGCGGGACCTCCTCCGGTGGCCGGGGAGCAGCCGGGGATCGAACGGGCACCGCAGAGGCTGCGGGCAGCTTCGCAACCCAGCGCTCAACCGCTGCGCCACCGGGGAGGCCCGAGATTTTATATTTTTAAGGGAATGTATCCATGTAGTCAGTTTTGTTGACTTTGTTACCTTACAGTTATTCATAATATTTTATTACTATTATTTTAGTCTGTATTTTGTCTGATGTTATTTTCCCTTTCAATAAACCTGGAACCTCTGGGTCTTAGTATCTGTATTTCCTGGAGATTTTCAGGTGATCAGTATTTTGGAGACTGATACTGACTTCACAAGACATATGCAACTATCTTGAAAGATGCTTTCACGACTAAAGAACCCCTTGTGAAAAGAATATATTAATATAAGAAGGAGAACGCCTCCTGTCATTTTCTTACTAGAAACTCAGGCTCTATGAGGCCATGATGAGTCACATAACTAGAACATCATTTTAGGGGAAATTAAAAAATCTTCCCAGATTACCCCCCTTGGGATCTCTAGATAATGTCAATGCCTCCTACTCATTCCAGAAAAACAAAAAAGAACTAGTCAACTAGCAAAATCTGGTCATAGTGACCTTTCCTCTCTTCCTTCTAGTACTTGTAAATAGCATCAGAACACCTAAGCAGGAACTTGCCACTTGGCTCAGGTATGTGAGATCATGTCTTTTGGCAGTCAAGAAATGAATCAGTCACACTAGATAATACTTTTCTCTGTAGTATTGTGACTTAAGTGGTTAGGAAATTCAAGATCACTTAGGATTTCAAAGGCATGATCATCTTACATTGAGTTAAATATCCCTTCCATTCAGGACTGCATTTGATGGGTTGAGAAGTGCTAAGGCATCAATTACAAAGATAAGAATTATGCATCAATATGTAAAGGCACTCTCCTTCAGCTGTGCTAATTGGTGAAATATGGATAGTTCAAACTTCCCTGCTATTTTAAACTGTAGTAATATCTTAATGAATGTCTATTTGTTTTTCCCTTGAAATCTAGTCCACAAAGTCACATTTACCTTGTGTGTATGTGTTATGTGTGTGTGTGTGTACATGTGTGTAATGTAATGTGCTTGCTTTTATTCTTTGCTCTAAGTTCAGTTTCCAGGTTTCTATATTGGAATTTACCAGGCAACCTATTCTACAACTGCCAGAGAAAGAGATTTTCATCTTGTTTGAAACTTTTATTTAATCTATTCACAGTATTTTGAAGATTTGGAGCATATGTTTATTGAAAATCTTAATCTTATGATCTATTAATAAAATGCTGTATTAACAAATGGTTCCACTAGATATCACTGTAGTGCCTAAACACATGTACCTTTTCTTAAACAATCCAAATGCTCTGATATAGGCTGTTTTCTTCTAGCCCTTCAGAATGGTTTTTCCATTCTTTGGAAGATGAACTCCCAGATATAAAGCCAATTTGTCTTCAACATTCTCCAGCCAATTCCCAGATTTTTGTCCTCCTTTAAAAGACAAAGCCCTAGGTTTTAAAGTCTCTTGCCAAGTTTAACTACCTTTTTGACCACTTTTTGCCTCAAGCTTCTATAACAGCTAATAGGAAAGGTAACATTTTAAAATCAAAATATTAACTTGGAAGTCAGATAAAAACAAAGCTTGCAGTAGTAGCTAAGCATGCTTGTAGTTTTATTTGGTTAGATAGAAAATACTATATGCCTTTTCCCTATTAAGGTTCTAGAATAACAAACTTGTCCTTAAATTTTGTAATCATTGATAAATGTTTTTCTGCAATGACCAGGCTTAAATAGACATTAAGATAAATAATGCAGAATACAAAATAGGAGTTTAAAAGTCAGCTCATTTATTTGCATTTATTTTTTGTACACATGGTATTTTGTGAACTGAAGAACTAAAGTGGTTTACAATAAAAGAAAGACATGAAACACATTTTTAAAAAATTTTATTAGGACAGTTAAATAGGGGATGAGGGTGATGATTAAAATAATCCAATATCCCTAGCCAAAGTGACTCTATAGTTTTTGAACAAAACTCAGTTGCACATTAATATACAGCATGTGTTTAACAAAATAACAAAAGCTATTATACCATGTAACTAGGAGATACAAAAATTTATCTCAATATTAAGAGTAACAAAATTTTTTTTTTTAATTTTAAGAATGTAAACATTTGGACTTAGAACTTATGTAACTAATAGTAATTTTAAAATGCAAGAGACTTGATCCAAAATGGAAGGAGGTAAGCCCTGAAGATGGAAGAAACAGAGCAGTGGAATTTTTCACTGATCACCTTTTGGCTCTCACCCGAGGCACATTTTTTGTTTTGTTTTTATTAATGATTAATATAAAGTGTTTTAAATATCTCTGCATATTCAAGAATTATTAGAAGCATTAATGAATCACCACAGGAAAAACATTCCCTTCTGATATAAATTTCATGGAGAAAATTAGCACTTCTTACCTTCTCCTATTCTAGTTGCAGGTAATGAAATAAAAGAAATGTCTTATATTCCATTGTTTCATGTCAGGAAGAATGTGGGTTTTAATGAATCACAGTCATTTGGAAGATATGTGTTCCTGTATTTCACCTTCAGTGCTTCATGGAAGACACTGCTTTACTTGTAAGTAAAACAAGGTTCACACTTGAAATAGCGTAAGCGTGAGTGAGTGTTAAAAATGAAGTGAAGAATAAGTGTTAAAAAGAATTCAATACCATAGCCTAAGGGATGCTATAGATTTTGAACAAAACCTAATTGCAAATGAAAAATGCAACAGATTGAATTGCTCTTACTGAATAACAGTTATCCCATGCCAATTTGAGTTTGCTAGCGAGTGTTTTTACCTATACCATATATACTTGAGCTCTGAGTGCTCGAATGTTAGATTTAGCCATTTTTGATTCTTCTCTTTCATTCACAGTTCACATTCCATTCATTTGAGAAACCATCATAGTTCACTCTTTAGATATATACAGAATTTGACTATTTCTTACCACTTCCTCTACCACCTTGCCATCCTTACTACCATCTTCTCTTGCCTGGACAACAGCCATAGCTACCCAGGTGGTCTTCCTGCTTCACAATTTCGCCACACAGTATATCCACACAGTATATCCATGCAACAGCCAGGCTGACCTGTTAAAGCAGACACTGTTATTTCCCACTGTTTTTTTTTTTTTTTAATTGAGGTAACATTCCCTTATCAGTGGTATTTGGGGAATATAGGGAATCCCCTTCTCCCTCAGGCATAACCACCATATGCCACAACAGAGTGAAATTACCAGGTATTTCATCTTACCATGGCCTTTACTCCCCAGTGTGAGCCATTTCTTA